ATTTTGTAGCTCTTTCTTTGCTCTATCGATTGGTATGTAAAAGAGCTTGGCTTACACGTAAAAATATGTCAAAACAGCTCTAATTATTGTTCGGATGTGAAGTACTGAATAATACTCCTGTAAAAGGACAGTATTTTCCATGATTAAATTTTTAATGAAAGAATATTAGTTTTTATATGAAACGATGCAGTATTAAACACTCTTTCTAACCAATATAGATTGAGCTTGACACATTGCCTAAAAGTCGTATATTTCGAGCTAATACTAGACAACTATGAGCCCAATGAAACTTCAATACTTTTTTGTAGGTATTCTTCCTCAAAATAGCTTATAATCCTCACAGCTTGACTTGAAATTATTACCAAAAGAATCATCACATTTTTTCACATAGGATAGGCGATAAAGTGACTGAAAATATCCTATGGGCCAAATCGACTTCTTATGCGCCCCTGTCCTTTGATCATGATATCCAACCACAGTTCGTACCAGTTATTGTTTCGAATTCTATACATATCCCGTATTACTCAAGCCATTCTGTTCCGGTTTCAACTTGTATTTCATCTATTTGTTCACTATTTGTACCTCACTCCTTTTTCTCTTCATCACGTAATCCATTAGCTGTTCCACAGAAATTTCTTGAATTTCATAATTATGTATCTTACATCACGTTATCTAATCTTTCATTTCGAACACAATTTATTAATCAAGGTACCTGCCTTGGTTATTTGTGTCAATATTCTTCTACACCTCAACGTAATAAAATCAGACATAATTTGAATACTCCTTGTGGTGCCGCCGATTTGATTGGCGATGAACCAGTTTTTCTTGGCGTATCAAATGATAAAATACCTCCACAAGATGTAACTCAATTAACTAATAGTATACCTAGTATACCTTCCACTGTTAGTAACGTACTTTCTTCTGCAGAAAATGCTTTTCGTGAATTAATTAAACATGTTGATAATAAAAATCAACAAAATGATCTTCTTGCACTTCTATTTAATTTCCGACATATTTTCGATACACAGAAACATAACATTGCGAAGACACGTATCCATCACATAATTAATACAAACCCCCATTCCCCACCAGCTTCAAAACCTTATCTACAACCAGATAAGGAGGAAAATATGTTTAATATGATTCAAGAATTTTTACAAGCTGGACTAATTTCCGAATCTCACTCTCCATATGCTGCTCCTGCCTTTCTCGTTAAGAAAAAAGATGGTACATTTCGTCTCGTAGTGGATTATAAGAAATTGAATTTAATAACTATTAAAGATTCCTCACCTCTACCTAACATGGAAGATGCAATTCGAAAACTTGGACCAGGTTATCAGTATTTTTCTAAGTTAGATTTGAAGTCTGGGTTCTACCAGATTCCAATAAGAGAAGAAGATAAACCAAAAACAGCTTTTATTACACCTTTTGGACTTTTCCAATTCAATGTACTCCCCATGGGATTGAAAAATTCCCCTCCCACATTCCAAAAGGTTATGACTGATACATTAAAAAATTGTCGTCCCTTTTCACTTGTATATCTAGATGATATAATTGTTTACTCCAAATCATACGAGGAACATCTTGATCATCTTAAACAGGTTTTTACAGTACTGAATGATAAAAATTTCGTTTTAAATCCTCCGAAATGTGAAATATTAATGCAAAGGATTAATTATCTTGGTCATACTATTGACAAAGATACAATTAAACCTATGATAGAGAAAATCGAAGCTATCCTTAATATGAAAGATCCTTGTACATTAACAGCAGCTAATAAGTTTATTGGCGCTTTGAGTTGGTATAGAAAATTCATACCTGGGTTTGCTTCAGCAGCTTCCCCAATACATTCAGTTACTAATCTTACTAGAAATAATCGTCGTAAATTCCAGTGGAAATTCGCTCAATCACAAGCTTTTCAACGATTGAAACAAATGCTTGTATCAGAACCTTTATTTTTACATTATCCTGTCGATGATAAACCTATAATACTAACTACAGATGCTAGTGGAGTAGGTATAGGTGGTGTTTTGCAACAGGAAGTCAATGGGGAAATGCGCAATCTGTACTATCCTTCACAGTTATTGACTCCTTGTGAACGCAAATATAGTACAATAGAAAAAGAAGCTCTTGCGATCTTCAAATGTATTAACCGTATGCGATCCTTTTTATTGG